GAATAGAAACGCAGTCTAGTCTCAGCTATTGCAGGACACTAAATGATTTCACATTGTCCGTTTACAAAGTTTTAAGACTATTTCATGAAAAATTCGAAAGTTGAAGAAAACAATACTCTTACATCTTAGCCTTCAACACACAATCCTCTTCCTTTTACGTAGTGATTAGTACATTCATGCAACTAATTTACTGCTTCATAGATCTCATTTTGAAAACAACTTAAGTCTCTAGATACGTTTCTTTTAATAATAATCAAAGACGTTTACATTTTTATCTGTGGTATTAGAATAATAACATTTGGGGAGCGATTTCTCTTTAGGAAAAAAGGTATGCAGGTGATAACTCTGGTGAGTAAGGAGAATAGTTGAGAAATGTGAAAATTTTCTTTGGTAAAACTTCTTAAGGAGCAATTAATTTTACAATGGCAAATGGTCGTGCAGAAGAAAAAATCTAGAAGTCTGGTCATTACGAATTTTATAATATGAATTACAATTTTATATTTTTATAATATGAATTATTTTTATAATATGAATTACAATTTCAACGTGAAATGCACTAGCCACTGGCAGTTTCTAGTCAAGCATTATCTCACGAAAATGATGACCCGTGGCTTCTGTGATCGTGTTAAATCTTCTTCAACTCAAACAAATGCTCACCAGCAACCGAATGATAAAGTCTCTGAACACTACTAGTTCTGCCCGAAGTTTGAATCCCGGCAAACGAGCTGGCTGTAGGAGTGTTTTTGTTTTTTCCCCATGCGCAATGTGTATACGAGCCAGTATCCATCGTATAGTAGCACTTAGTACCCTAACTAGTCCTCTACGAAAACAAACTTCCTCTTAGGAAGACGGCTTAGAGAGCTATGTCATAATCAAGTAAACAAAACTAAAACAAACGAAACGAAAATAAATGATAGCTTTTTTTTACCTCAGAATCATAAGCAAAGCATAGAGATTTATCTTCAATCATAATTTGATTGAAAAAATCCCGAGTAGTTCCCGCTTTACAGAAAAACGTTATTTCTATTCTTCGTTCAGCTTCGAAATTCATAGTAGTATATGCTTCCTGGATCAAAATAACGGATTAACAAAAGGAAATTCCAAAATTTTGCGAAAAAGAAAATTAGCGATAAATAGTTTAAGTTACCTTTTAATGCGATTGATGAAACTCATTAAAAATGCAAGGTGCGTCTGAAAAATTCGGTGAATAATCTCAATAAGTAAGGGGAATAAGAGTTACAAACAAAATACTTTTACTATCCTTCAAAGTCACCATTAGCTACAACACACTTCTGACATCGGTTGTAAAGCTGTTGGAAACTGTCAGCAAACGCTTTTTGTGGAAATGTTCGAAGCATAGTGGTAATGCGTTGATGTATATCTGCAACGTCTGCGATACGTAAGCCGTTCGTGGCTATAAGGACGGGAAATAAAATAAAGTCTGTCAGCGCCATTTTTGGAGAATAAGAAGGGTGTTGAAAGACCAAATTGCTAATTCTGGTCAGATATGTCGATGAAATCTCCAGACGTATCCATCCGAGTTTGCTGTTTGCTTCTTTTCGTCTGTCAGTGTGTGCGATACAAACAAGACGCAAATATTCTGCTTTTTCAAACGTTCGTAACCAATAGTGCTTACACTTTGTTTATCTTTAACTTTTCTGCTATCATTTTCAAAGACAGCCGCCAATCATTCACAAACATCTGCACTCGTTTGATGCTATCTGGTATTGGGCTAGTTGACGGTCGACCTGAACTCGGTTAAAGCATTTAAACAAACGAAACATACACGTTTTACTCACTGTTTCAATACACACATGCACTAAAAATTTAATGAATCTTAGTCGCCGTTTTCCCTAATTCGTATGCGCGGTCGTCTCATCCTAACCAATGCGAGTTTTAACATATGGCACATTCACCGAACTTTTTAGACGCACTTTGTATTAGTCATAAAACTTTGTAGACACATTTTATATTACTCTGTTGGACGATGTCATTTAACTATAATGAATGTTTAAAATGACTGATATAGGAAACACTACAGAATAGTGGAAAATATTTAATGTTAATGCTTCTTCAATTCCGATGCTTAACGTAAGATGACTGTCAATAGAAATTTGGAGTATTTTTCATAAGGAAACCTCATGTAACCGTCCTGTTAGAGGAACAGCACGTTGGTTCTCATCAAGGAAATATTTATATCTTTTATCCAACTTATCAGAAATATATACGAAACAACGACCTAAAGGAGGAAATTAATGACTTTTGAAAGCATTGAAAGCTATTATTCAGAAGCAGTAAAGCCAGACAGCTACAGTTACGAACAAAAAGATCACGAGAAAACGATGCCAGAGATAATTGCATTATGTTCTACAAATACGAATGCGCATTTTTTATGAAATAGTCTCTGTTAGTTATTCAGCGACAAACGGAACAAAAGTTATATGCAGCGTAAATGAAAGTGTTGAGATAAATTTCAATTATAACATTTAAATGGCACTTTCATTTGTAAATGCCTATTTTGTTTCTTGCTATTGAGTTTAGATTGTTAAAAAACTTTCATTTAATATGTTTGAATATGAATCATTTATCACCCCACAGTTTTGGTAATATGCTGTTTTAATGTACTGCTTATTCAGTACTCTCCACTTCTTATTACGTATTTACGGAAAATACGTAATGAGCACCATGTATTCCGTTCTCTTTGTAAAAGCGTAATCTGTAATTTATCAAAACATATTAAGAAAACTATAATTTATAAAAGCTAGATAGGATTTAATTATAAATAAAGAAAAGAAAATATAAATAAGGAAATATAAATTATAATATTTTATAGGTAATTTGTAAGTATGTAACAAAACTCAATCTCTTAGGATAGCGCACTTCCCATGCATGCTCTCGTGGAGTTTGTATTTCTAGCTGGAAAATGGAACCCTGAAAATCCCAAGTCTCTACAAGTACATCAAAAATTCATAAAAGGCTATTTTATAATATATACGCCTCATAAAAGTGCAATTTTGTTAATTATGGACTGGGAACTCTAGCTTCTAATTTGTTTTATAAGAAGATAAAAATTTCAAATGTATCTGAAGCCAAGTGTTTTGCACAAAACACTTGGCTTCAGACTGGCTCATGTTCATTTTATATATGGGGAAAGCATGAAAACTTCCATGAAGACAGAACATTAATTAAAGTTGTTTAAGAGCCTGAATCTAAAAAAATAAGGAACAGAAGAGAGAAACAAGATGTATTTAAGTGGAAGAATGTATAATGATTTAGCATTGATTTTGTTCCAAAGAGATAAAATGTATTAAAAGGTCTTTAAGCAATGAGCAATAAGGTCCTCAGTTAAACGTTTCTTATTCATATCAATGTACGCGGTTTTCTTCATCATATTGATTTCATCACATTTATGAGCATTGGAATTCATCAGGTATAAAGTTGAATGAATTTCGAGCTGAGCTGTTTTCTTTTATTTTTTTGCCTGGTTAAAATCAGAAGTAAAAAATTTCGCGTTGAGCATAAAATGATTGGATGCGCCGTTTATCCATTCATAATTTGTATGTTGTGTGTGTATTGTGTATTTAATTATGGCAAAGCACACTAGGGCTATCTGCCTAAGGGGAAAGATGCCTTCGTGGAGGACTTTCCAAGGAAAACTGTCTCGTATACACGTTACACATGGGGAAAACCACGAAAACGCCCATGCAGTCAGCCCGTTCGCGGGATTCGAACCTCGGACCGAACTACCAGTGTTCAGCGACTTTACCGCTCGGTCGCTTGTGGGCCCGTTTATAATTTAGAAGGATCTGAAAGAAATATTTTAAACTCGAAAAAGAACAGAACAGGAAAGATACTCAATCATGACAACTTTATAACATTTGAAAAGTTTTAAATTTAAATAAATGAGATATAAATAAAGTAATAAAATATGTTCTCAGAACGTATTAGTTTAATAATAATCTGAGTCTATACATGCACGAGGCCCTGGATGCAGTTCTGTGTTAGGTGACACAAAAAGTCTTCATTTTTCCGGGAATTTAAATTGCTCGAATTTTTTTGTAATATATCATGACATTTAAAACAAATTCGTAACGGCACAAATGTCCGACTGTCAGCCTGTACTAGATCTTGTTAATATTGCCCAAATATGAGACGGAAGGGCAGGGCTGCACTGGATTATTTGGATTATGACAAAGCAATCGAGAGCTATTTTCGTAAAGGTAGTAAGTAATGCCTTGATGTAGGACTTCAGGAGAATTGGATCATATTCACGTTACAGATGAGGAAAACATGAATTCTCCCTACCAGGCAGCTTGTTTGCTGGTAGCTAAACTTCGTACAGACTAGGAATGTTTAACAGTCTTAATGCCCGGACGCTGGTAATTTGGTCATAGAGGTAAGCTAATGGCAAGTGTTCGATGGAATATAGAGCAGTATTCATAGTTAGAGATTGGCAGATCATTGAACAGGCTCTAGTCTTAGAACCAAAAATCCCAAATTCTAGATTTTAGAAGATCTACAACTATACCATAATTCCTCAAACTTTTGTTTTTACTTCACAAAGACAAGAAAAGGATTTATTGGGCTTGATAGAAAGCTAGGCACCTATCCAGGCTTTTAATGGGTATATCATTAAGTAAATCATTAATTTTTTAAAGTATATCATTAATGATATACTTTAAAAAATTAAAGCAAATTAAAATGTATCGAAATTATTTAACATATGTTAAGAAATGTCTTATGCGGAGTATAAATGATAATGCTAAAAGTAATGCTTATACTTATAAAAACAACAGCGCTGCAAAACGTCCTGAATATCAGCTGGAATCTTACAAACCCCATGCTTTTTAAAACTGTAACAGTTAGTTCTATTATTACAGAAAAGTAATAATTTAATTTACTAAGAAGAAAGCTTATATATATTTTTCAGATTTTAAGCAATGCATTTATAATTTGATCATTAAAAATTTTATGCCACCGTCAGTGAAAATACTGCTTACCTGTCAACTACGGCCCGATGCCACTGGCCATTGTTGACTGCAAAGCTGTGGCGGATGAGGAGCGGTTCTCGATTTCCTGCTGCATTGAAACTTACTTCCAGGAAACTGTCAACTACAGCCAACGCCAAGAAATCGCCAACCACTGGCAAATCTTCATGCGACCATAGCAAGAGTCCATCTGTCGCTTCTGTACGAAACGTCACCTCTATACGATTGTGTCCATTTCCGAACAAGCTAAGAGAAAGCATTGGATGATTAAAAATAACTGGTTGCAGTATGAACTGCTGAAACAAGAACTAGAACAACAGTAAGTATCAGAGCATAAGTTTGAACTACACTGAAGTGTCAGTGAAATAAAGATAGATGTGAGTTCAATAGGCCTACGGAAGTGCTCCATAGAACTAAACTATCAAACGTTATCTAGAATCTCATTAAATAAGATAATGGTGATGAAAGCTATGCTTGTATACCTTTTTACAGAGTATTCCTAAATTATATAATATTAGGCTGACATCTCAGTAGTCAGCTGAACTGGGAGAATTCAAAGGAATTCTTTGCGAATCATACAGTATCACAACAGAATTCGTGAAACAAGCACTTTTCCTCTTGATATGCTCAATTTGCATCTAAATGACAGAAAAGGATATAAAGTATCTCGCAGCAAATCTGATTATTTAGGTAGGTGTGGTATAGAGGTAACAAAAGTTATAAACTTTATTAAGAAAAAATACATCTGACCATCACTGAAACAGCACTGTACAGTTCCAGGATGTTATGCTGGATCTAGGTTTCATGGCGATGACGCCACATTCTTAGCCTACCATCAGCGTAATATAATAGGAATCGAGATTAATCGTTTTATGTTACTCGCTTTAGATCATTGATAATCTAGTCACAGTGTTCCGTGGTATATGCAAGATGTAGACCGAGGTAGCGTATAGTGAGATGTTGTACTCTCGTGGATCTTTGGCTTCTGAAATCCATTTGGCAAAGCGAGGGCTGTACAGTCCGTCTACTACATTACGACTAGGCCCTTGAGATGATCAAGTTTAAAATAATTAAAAGACAGCGCTATATCTGTGGTGTTTATGTCCGGTTATTTAGATACAATTTAATTTCACGGTAACCTAATTTAATTTGATGTTTCGTGTTACGTACAATACGGGCAAGACTTCAAAGATCACTATCAATCAAAGCTGGTTGTTCCATGGAGTTTGCTCCATTCGTTTTTCTTTCCCTGTTGTTTGTGCATTCTTGCAATTTTCTTGACTCTTTAAAGCGAATAATCTCCTATTCTTGAATTATTTTTAAAGCTAATGCCGCAGACGTAGAGTACTATTATAGATTATCAAGGGAAGGTGTCCAAGTCACGAGTTTTACCATCAAGTTGTTTTAAGAACTGCAACTTGTATGTATTCTTCGTTAGTGTTCTCACAGGAGTAAAAATGAACGATGTCTGCATAATGCGGTGTAATCCTAATTTAATTGCACTTCGGTGTATTAACAATATTAGAACATAAAGAAGAATTATAGAAAGCGAATTAGAACTATTGGAAAATAAACTAAATTTGGAGTGTTAATAAATGATAATATTAAGCTCCATCGGGCATATATTCTTTAAAATTTTAGCCAATATATAGTTAATCGTCTTTTAGTAAACTATTATTCTAAGATTGCTACTATGTGTTTAATCACACATCTTTCGTATGCATACACATATGTAATTTATTTATTTATTAAATTTGCAGTATGTATGACATAAGTAAGAAGGGCAAGTTCTTTTAAATAATATAATTATAAATTGAACGATTATAGTGTTTGAATGTTCTTATTAGTTACTGTATAAATACATAACATGCATATTCGTATAAAGTCAGAAGAAGTAACATACTCATTTTCTTTTACATCCAGTAGTTCCTCTTCTAAGCTAAAAATTAAACAAAAACAGAATATAAAATGAAAGCTCTATAAAATTATCTAATAAAGATTAATTTTGGCTAAAATATTTAAATCAACCTCAGTGTGAGGTACATTTATTACAATAAATATGAAACCAAATATCTATTTTCTTGAGTTTCTTGGGTGTTTTATTGTTATACAATAAATAGCATTTAACATTTTAAATACAGCTTCAGTATTTGCTATTATTATTATTAAAACAACTAAGTGAATTATAGAATTTCAGCTCACAGTGTTACGACATAAATTCACTGCATTAATGCATCGCAGTATAAATGTATTTTTCTTTTACAACTATTTTGCTAAGGTATATGTCTTATTAATTTGGAAATAATTACGGAATTTTGGGGAAATTCGTTAGTGAAATATAGGCTAAATATTTATGTCTGAATTCATGTTTATTGAACCGCACAGACACTCATGAATTTAAAATAAGTAAAAAATTAATAAGATTAAAAAAAATTAAAAATGAATGTTTTCTAACCATTAATAGCATGACTCTTATTCGCGCTCTGACAAAACACTTATCCATGTCCAATAAAGGCACCAGATAGGAAAGGACGCTTCTAAAAGTATCCAAGAGCGCATTTCTCCTAATTGATTTAGTTCTGTGGTATGGTTGTTTTTACCATTTCATTCTGGTTAAAAATATTTCCTGATTTTTATTCTGTGCCTCTTGAAAAATGCATAAAATAAGAAGAAAAGTAAACAAAAAATTAAAAGTAGCTACATAAACTCTATCCGTTATCCCTGTTTACTTAATACCCAAATCCTAATTACTCGTATACTTTTTACTATGGTCACAACTGCCGTATGAAGACTGTTTTATGGAATTCTTTTCCTTAAAAAAATAAACACTTTTCCCTAAAGCTCTCACATCTAGTTTTTTAATAATTCTTGTGTTTTTAATACAATTGATTTAAATTTAATTTTATTTATCTATTTATGAATTATAATGTGTATTTTTTAATTTTTTATATGAGATATTTTTTAAAAGTATTTCAAAAGTTTTATACTTCATTGAGCAGAAAAATTTACTTACCGTGTAGCAATCTTATTAGGAAAATTTAAGTATGTTTTTCCATCAAACATTACTGGCTCATCGACAGACATATTTTCAACGTCTGAAAAACATATTTATTTTTAGATAATATTCTAACTATCAGCAAGATTTAAAAATTACACATAATCTTTAATTTGTAATAAATATTGTTCACTAGCAGATCAAATTTAATAGCACAAATTTAATAGTTAAAACAAATCTTAAATTAAATTTCAATTATAAAAAAATTAAAGTTTTAAAATTCACAAACTTCACTTATACATAAGTGCCGACATGACAAATCATTTCTTAAAGCCTGGCCAATTACCATTTCTCAATATTAAGACTGCTTGTGAAAACTTCAGAACAGCGATGAATAACAATCATAAGAACAGTTATTTCGAAAACTGATAATTCTGTCATATCATTTCAGCACATTCCACCTTAAATGTAAACGAATAAAATGTTAAACCGTAATTTGTTTTCTTATATGCTTACTATAGATATCAAAGAAAAGGGGAAGAGGAGAAAAAAATTAAATCTAAAAGAATGAAATGTTAAACCGTAATTTGATTTCTTATAGGTTCACAACAGATAACAAAGCAAAGAGGAAGAGAGTGAAAAAGAAATTAAACCTATCTCCGATGCGCATATACTTCACTGCGGAAAATAAAAAAAAACTATTGCATTTATTTCTACAATGTGTTGCTAGTTATAATGCATTCTGATGGAAAATATTTTAACTGTATATGGTAATTAATAAATATACCACTCATTGTATATTTTCTGTATTGTGTTAATATTGTTGAATGAACCCGTATAATATGCAATTTATTACACTCAAGTCGCATCCTGCTGAACTCATTAAACAAGACTGAAACGATAACTTGATACAGAGGGTGATTCAGACTTCTCGGACAAAGGGTGACAGAAAACGCTTATGAAGCACTTTTCGTCAGAACGGGCAAATTAAGTGGCAAAATAATAGAGGCGAGAAGGCGTAAGTATGATAGGGGAGGAATGGAAAAGTTGAATAAATTTCAAATTAAGTTTCAGAAGCTGCTCAAAACAGCCACTGCTAAAATGCAAATTTTCATGCGATCGATATAGTGATCGGCATACACACATCGAGCTAAAAGGCGACGGAGTTCCTGGGCATATTTCAGGAATTCTGATAATACTTTTTGTAGAAGCAATAGATATATTTTCTCATCCAACAGTTCTGGCGATAGGTATGGGGCAATGAAATGATCATAGGCGATTCCAGAACATGCCGCTGATAGGAATGCCTACATATAGCATGTGGAATATTGGCTGTTTGCATATGAAAATTATATTCATTCAAATTTCTTTGAGTTTCATTTGTCACTGATTAGACATACAATGTGCGAGTAAGCGGATTAGAGAACAACCCAATTTTACTAACACGAAATCCAGTTAAGAAGCCAATGCGCAAAATAGATACGAGGCTGATAATCTGCAGATATCAAGACTTGCACTTTCTGTGCATGATGAGAGTGAAATCGTTGTAGTCAGCCGCACGCACCAAGTGGAACACTTTTACGGCACAAATAATTTCTCGAATGCTATATTCGGGATGATCTGTATCCTACACAGAATTTTCTACAGTATGTAATGTCCTCACATTATCTGAAAGCTCTATATACAGCTAAATGCCCACGCAGATCTTTTTTTATAAAATATTTTAAATACCCAATGTAACAGCAGTGCAGTGATAGCAGTTGCAGCATTAATTATTCATATTGGCATTAATATTTAATTTCTGATATAAAAAGTAATTTTAAACACCCATTTAATCATTGCTGCTGGCTACCTTATTAAAAAGATTGAGCGCTTATTAGAAGTGTGTTAATACTGTGTGTATAACTTATACATGCTCCAATTTTCTTCCTCACATTTATTTTGTTTTCTGTCTTCCTATCACGACACATTTTTGCATTCTTTTAATTTATTTATGTGAATTTTTTTGAATTAATTAATCATATTCTGCGAGTAGTGCTTTAAAATTAAACCACAACTCCACTAGTTTATATTTGAAACCACACTGTGTGATGATTAATAGACTAACGAAAGAGTGGCATTTTTTTAATGAATATATATTATTGATTGATTTATCAAGGTAGTTTTAAACTATTACAATGATTCTATGGCAGAAGCCCAAACCAAAAAAAAAAGCGTATACAAGAAAAGCTCATAGAAAAAACTATAGTCATGATTACCCACAAGAAAAATATTTTCACGAAAAAGTGCCGACTGAGATGCTCACGAAAAGAAATCCACATGCATAAAATTCATATGGATAAAACTCATACAGATTACCTTAATACTCAAAAAAAAATATACACATAGAATTTATTATATTATTAATATGTTATTTCGTTGATCTTAATTTCAAAATTTGTAAACGCTTGTTTATTACTAAAATATAACAACTGTTTAATGAAGTAATTAAATTAAAGATTTATTTAGAAAACTAGCGCTTAAGCAAATGAAATTGAAAATGCAATTGAGTAATATAAATTTTCGCAATAAAAAGATTATACTATCCCAGAGAATGAAAGTAAAATTGTAAATGGAAATAACCAAAATTAAAAAAGTTTTATATAACTTGTATTTTTTTTTTTTTTTTTTTTTTTTTGCTGTTGTTGTTGTAGTTTTTTTTTAATAGTTTAAATGGACAAAATGCTTTTCAGAACTCCTTAATTGCTCTAGTTCAATGTTTGAAATAAGTATACCTTAATAAGCCTCTTTGAAACAGTGAACAATATAATAATTATCAACTTGCTATTAATGTTTTATAGGAAATTCACGAGAAATTCGTTCAAATAAAATTGCCTGTACTTAAGTGCTATTGGTTTACTATACAATAATTTTCAGTTACAATTTTTTTAGTGAGTATAGTGTACACCATTTCAGTTTGAAAAATTATATATATATATATATATATATATACACTCATGTGAGCTTTCTTTTCAGCTGAGCAATTTTTCATAAGGTATTTTTTATTTTTTCTGCTCTAATGCATAACAGTTAAAAATTCGTTTCCAGGTTGCCACATTATTAAAATATAAATCTAATTTTATAATCAATAAAATGGGAAAATTCGTTTAATCTTTACGATTAACTGTCAAAGAAAAAAGAAAAGAAAGTACAGACAACCTGGTCTACTAAACTTCTTTTCCTTAAAGAAGTTTAGTAGACCAGGTTGTCTGATGGATGAAAAGAACTTCGAATTCAGAAATCTTTATCTTATTTTCAGATATTCCTTAAAATCTTCCGCGAATCTCCAGCGAAGTTGCTGCAAAAGAACCTTGACGCTTTCAGTAAAATTTTCTAAAAATAAAATATAAGAATCGCCCACAAGCAGTTTCTTTCCTTGCGAATTCAAGTTTCATTTTTAAAACTTTCACTCTTCTTGAAACATGAAGGTTACTGCGTATTTACTCAGAAAAACTTATTCATCTCATTCGGTCTCTGAAAATTGTCAGCAGAGAAAAACTAGTCTGTGCAGCAATTTCTCTTCGGTAAAACTCAGGATCTCGCATTTGTTGTTGCAACCGCAATCTCTTGTTTCACTTTATATAAAGGAGGAAGTTTTTTTTCTTTGAAGTTAAAAAACGTGCTTGGAAATAAATAGTGGTGGGCATGTATATGTGATAAGCAAAGCAAAACATTTTCCTGAAACATCTCGAAACATCACATTTTGTTCCTTTGTCATTTTTCTAATTATCTCTTATAAACTAGTCATATACAAGTTACAGAAATAATTTGAAATAAAATGAATAGATATTATATTTCTCAATGAAAATTAATAATATAGCTGTTTACGGTAAACAAAAGAATGCATTTTATTAAAATTAAGGCATCATATCGTAAGTAGATTGATACATATTAAACTGAGCATAGATTTTAAAAATCGGGATTGTGCTAACAGGTTTGAAACTGCCTAAGTAAGTTTGAATCTGAAAACTATTAGAAAGAAGCTTTTCTTTTTAACACTTTGACTACTTTGATTACATTTATCGTTTTTTTTGCTTATACCTGAGACAAGTGGCTTTCTTGCCCCACCATTTGCCCGGTTTCACTGAAGGTAATTATTGAATTTTAAAATATTTTCCAATGCTCTGTCATATTAAAAAATAATTACGAAGTGAGAAAAAGATTTCCGATAAATAGAGGATAAGCAGTTTTCCTTATTTATTAAAGAAAGGGAAAAAAAGAAAAAGATTATTTTCAAATCGTGCTATCTTTTGAACAGCATTGAGATGTCTCAAGATTTAATTATTCAATAAAAGATTTAATTTACTCATCGATACAATGTTTATGGAGGCTGAGCTGTTTTCCAATGCATCAAAAGTATACATACGTTTATTTATAAATCAATAAACAAGCTCAACGCAAGAATCTATACTATTAAAATCTGTGAATGCCTGTTTATCTATATGTTTGTATGTTTCTAACGTCATCTCCTCCGGAATGGAGGGAAATGGAGTTTCGAGAGAGGTACCTCCCGGATTCCAAAAATTCGTGGAAAGCCATTGCGAAACATTTTTCGTTAATATCAGAAATAGCTGCTGTTGGCAACGTTTGTTGTTTCAGGTTAGGATAATTGATAAGATATGTTATTATTCTCAGTTGTACATAGAACTAAAAATTTTTGCTTTGTTTTTGTCAATTTAATAAAATGCCAAATAGCAAAGGATGCATTAAGGAAGATGAATTAAGAAGAGCTGAACGAAAAAGGAACTCGCATTTGTTGAAAAAGGATTTTGAACTCCCATACGGCGAGCTACAGAAAATAAAGAAGAAACCACTAGGAGACTAAGCAGGCAAGTAGAACGACAAGAAAACGCACCCGTTCAAGAAACTGAAGAAGAAACCAATAGGAGGCTCAGCAGACAAGCAGAAATTCAAGAAACACTGCGTGCTGAACTGAAGAAACTGAAGCAGAAACGTATAGGAGGCTCATTCGACAAGTGGAACGTCAACAGAATATACGTGATGAAGAGACAGATAAAGTTGCAAGTAGACTAAGGACAACAAGACTCTCTATACGAAAAGACAGGCTTCGCATGAATACAGCACGACATTCACGTAGCACTCTTCAGAATACCGGAAGATGTGGACTCGAAGTTTACGGTGAGCAACACAGTGTGTACATAAAACTTATAAATATACACATGACTTATAAATTTTGTTTGGCCCCAGCCCACTTATCTCGCGAGCTTGCCCGCTAGTGTATTGTAAAATCCGATGGTTAATAGAGACGTAATCAGTTATTCAAACGCAGTGTATATTAGCACATCATTTCGATACTGTCGTTAAAAGGAAACTTTGATCAGTTGCACTTTTAACAAATTTTGAGAATTGCAGGTTAAATTTTGATTAAATGCTAATGCACGTAAATGTAAGTTAAAATTAAATTATTTTATAAAATATGCCTTATTTATATTTTATTATGTACAGAGAATTATTATAGAAATATAAAAAAAATAAAAGTCTTCAGATTAGCGGTTCCTTTACCACTTTTAAAACAAAAGCAGTTCAAATAATTTTAAAGTCATTGGTACTTTTGAGAACTCATTTAGGGGCAAGACCTGTTTTTAACATTTATTGAAAAAATTCCATTTTTATGATTTCATCTGCAATTTCTTAGTCCGAATAAGGGGAACTGAATCTCCGGAGATAAATGCATAAAAGAGCAGAAACGAGGAGCTTGGAATATTGATTAGTGACATACTATGTGTTCGACGAAAAGTTTCATTTCTAAAGAAACTCAATTCAAAGTCTTATTAACTTAAGCAGTGAGCTGTGAATCGAAAGAAAATTCAAGTAAATTATTTTTCTTATCTGCAAATTGAAACTTAAAAACAAAAATCCATCAAAAGTCATAGGTGAGATGTTAGAGGATTTATTGCTAAAGAGGGAAGTGATCTAAAGAAACCTAAATTAGAATTTTTTTAGCAATTCAATGAAACAGAATTTCCAGAACTGCTTACTTGATTCATAAATAAAAGGCCTTATTTCCCTTGATTAACTTCCCGGCATAGAAGGTGAATCTAGATACATCAGCTTTTTCACGTGTACTAATTTACTTAACCTAAGATAAATATATATCAACTCTTGAGATTGATTAAAAAGTAATATATTAAGTGGGAGGTTCCTAAAATGGAGTAAAAAATCTTTCGTTATCTGTGCTATTATTTAATGCTCAGGAATAATATTTTAAATGAAGCAGAACAGAGGCGATCAGTATATTAAATTATAGTGATCTGTGATAATTTAAAATATTATTCATTTAAGATTTTATGAAGTTATTAAACTTTTATAGAATTTAACAGAATTCATTCTTTATGCAGTCTTTACATCACGATTAAAATAACGCAAATGCATTAATTTATTCCAGCGGTTTATTAATTTGTAATTCTAATAAAATTTTGAAATTAAACTCGATTGTATCAGTTTAAATTATTTTGTTACAGGAAAGCGTACTAGAATTACCTAACTTAAAGAAAACTACTTTAGTGAGGGATTTTCTTAGAGAAACAAGATTGCTTTCATGTTGCATATGTAAAAAAACAGAATTGTTCGTTTGCTGGGATTCGAACCCACTAAATTCAGCAGTATTAATTTACTCGGCCATTGATGAACATTTTAAAATTAATCTTATTATGAATATTTCACTTAGAAGGACGGAAACATCAATCCCAACGCTTAATAATAAGGAATTCTAAGAATAGAAAGTACATCTAGAGAAAGGGAATTAGATGTCACTTTTTGAAATATAGCGCTTACATTAGAATTGTTAGAGTTCTGACTAGGCTGAATATGGAGAAAGGTGAGGAATTTAAAATTATAGCACTGTCTTTAGTCCTTCATTGTATGAAAATTTAATAGGTTTTTCAAATATAATACGAAAACAGAATACAAATTCATACTCAGTTCACATAGTAAGAGGAAATATTCGGAATATGATTATCTGTAATGGACTAATTTAAATAAATGAGAGATTTTGAGATTTTGAAAAATGAACGGACATGACGGAGAAACATGCTATTCAAGTGATGACCGTAAAAATGTTACTCTTTTAAAACCATGTAATAATTGATGAGCTAGAAAAAGCTTCGTTTATATTTTGCCCTAATATCAACGAATTTAATTAGCACTTTTGTAATTAGAATGAAATCACTTACACACTGTTAACTTCAAACCTATACATAGGATTTTACATCCCCTTGCTTCCCAAATGATTAACCTTATGAGATTCATATAATTCGGATGTCGAACACTAAGTCCTACTCGCCCATCCGATAAACAAATAGATAAGCTGTAGAAAATCAGACAACAAATTTTGTTTACTCGATAGAGCGGAAAACGATATCTTCAAAAACACAAGAAAATAGTAAAGCTGAATAAAATTAAAATAATTCTCTTGCGCCATTGCTGCAAGGAAGAAATTTGAATTTAACAAATATTCTCTATTCGTATAAAGCAAATATAAAATTAAAAGTTTAAATTTAATTAAAAAATTTAATTGCAAAGAAATAAAAATAAAAATAATTATTATTGCTGCGAACTAATTTACCATAGCATTTAAATTCTAAGAGCATATGTAAATTAATTGCAATTATCTAAGACCATGAAAAAATATATTATTCCTAAAAATTGCATAAGTGAATAATTGTTGAGCAGGCAGAAGACAGACTTATCAAGAGGAAGTTGTCCCCAAACCTAACTCATCCAATCACTCAATTCGTGTTTCGTCATCTATATAGGCAAGCGAAATTAAAAAATTCAAAGTATGATACAAAAACGAAATTTAAACAGTGAATTTTGAGAAATAGCAAGTAAATGATAGAGTAAAAAATTAAAAGTAATTAAACGTAAAACCCAATTTTTTTGAAAACCAGTATTTAGAAACTCTTGCCGACAGGAAACTTCCCACACGATAGGTGGAAACCTAAAAACTATACAACAATAAAAAAACTAAACAAAAAATATAATAAAAGGATAAATAGCAAGAAACACCTAATCTACAGTTGAATTTGTTGTTTGTATTTGCGAAACTAGTTGAGTAGTTTGTATTGCTACTGTAAAAAAAGCGGTCTCGAAATAGAGGGCTCATCAATGTGCAGTTGATGCTGTTACCGTGAGGCTATTTAGAATCTATGTCTAATTAAAAAAAATGCAAGAAAAAGCTTGTGTGTGTGCAAAATGATGCTAACTTTGAGTCAGTGTTACAAAGTGTAAAAGTAAAAGTCTGCGACTGTTGTGAAAACATTTCACAAATTTTTTAGTAAAAAAAATTCGAAGAAATCAGAATTAAATAAATAAGGGATTGAATAATTTAATTTAATTGAATAGAATTCGAATAAATACGATTGAAACAGACGGATTGTAGAAATTTTTTGTACCGCGCATTATTTAAACTGAATTACAAACTCAATCAAACGGTACTAAACTAGCTAAAGTAGGCAATTAGAAAATTTATAATTCACTCACGCAATGAGCTTTTAAAAACCCTGTTAAAGAGGGCCAGTTTTTATAAAATATGCATTTTACAAATATTTACAGTAATCTCTGCTCTTCAAATCCCCATTATCCTCCAGTTAGGAAGAAAATTAATTTTTGGAATAATATATTTTTTCAGTTTTAAAGATGCAAATTTACATATGCTCGTAGAAGGTAAATGATATTGCAAAGGGCGCAGGAAAATATTTTATTTATTCTTTGCATAAAATTTCTTAATTAAATTTTAAATTTTAATTTTATATTTGCTTGATACAAATACAGAATATTTATTAAATTCAAATTTCTTTTAACTATGTTATACACAGTACCTATTATTTATAGACACAAACCAAACGCAGTTTGAAAACCCCAATTATTATTCAAGCTTAGCATTTAAAAAATCGCAAATGACTTATATGAAGACATCTTCTTTAAGTACTCACGAACTGAAATAATATTATACTTACATTTCTCACACCAAAGACCAGTGTATGCGACTGGACATTTGCAATGGAAATTATTTAGTTGTGGTAAACACATCCCACCATTATGACAAGGATTCGGTCCACACGGTGGTCCGAAGAAATGTCCAACATCCTGCGAAGATTTAGCTACTTTCCTTAGGTCATCAACTACCTCGCCGTTGAGAACCAGCCTTTGAAATGCTCCTTTGAAACGTGATGTGATTCCTGATTCTGGATTGATGGTTGACAAATGACGGTATCCTCCCAGATATAAAGGTCGATCAAGATTCAATTCACTCAAAGGCTCCTAAAAATTTAATAGAAAAGAACGACATTTTATCTCAATTATTTAACGTATTCGTCGCGGTAAATTTTAAAAATTTATCGTATATACGCTAGAGTAGTGTTTGCAGACTGTCAGATGACGACAGTGCATCGAACATTCAATTCTTAAGTTCGATAAGTTGAGCTGTCGTT